CTTCCCGACTCTGCTAGCCCGTATCGGTCAAGTCCGTCTCGTGCTAGCCGCTAGAACGCCGTATGTTAACGTTTAAGCTAGATTTCGGCTAAACTCAACGCTATCGTCAGAGGCGGTGAATAGGTGGCTTACCAACCGGTTTCGAACGAACTACGGGAGAGGGTGCCGGCGGCCCCCAGACCATTATGCCTGGCACCCTTTTCGCAAGATCCTATGATCGGTAACTACCACACACAAGTAATAGTAACAGTTCGGTATATAAGTACGTTACAGTTGCCCAGTGTGGTGCATGTGGGACGCTTTAGCGAGTGTTTGCCGAATCTTTGAAATGAACGCATGCGCGAGTTGGATAGACGTAGCGCATGCGTCGGCATCATCCAATCAGGACGCAGGAAAATTCGCGCAGGTCCCGCGAGTTCGAGACTTGTGCGAGACGGCACAGAAGACGGGCGAGAAGTTTCAAAATAGTACAAAAATAAAAATCATTTTAACTTTTTAAGTATAAAAAAGATATTATTCACATGTATTTTGCTTGTGGAAGGTTGAAATCTGAAGAGTTAAAGAGTATGTCTAGCCAGGACGATGAATCGACTGGAAAGATGAAGGCGAAGTGAAATCTACACCAAGAGGTCGCACCGCCGTTGGTTTCTAGTACTGATACGAAAGGTACAAAGCTTTAATATATTTTTATATATTGTACTGTTTTGTTTCCTTTGTTGACGATAGTTGATGAGAAAATATTCTTGTCTAAAACTTGCTTCAATCGTTAAAGGAGGAAAGTTCTTAGTTTGGCTAAGATTAATATTTGTATTTATGAATGCAATAAATATTAACTTCCTTTAATAGCCTGGTCTGCCTGGATATAAAGTTTCCAAAATCTTGCACATAGTGTATATTCTTGCATACAGAATATACACTTCTGGAGAGTATCTCACTTTGGCTATAAAGCCTAACGTCAATCACGAAAATTATGGCCAAGGTGATGTCAGTACTTTCCAGAACCGTGTATATATATTGTCTTGAATTGTATGATTCAGCTAGGTCTGCTAGGATATAATGAAATGTTGGATAGTAATATACCGTAGGCCCATCCTCGTTCCCAGGGCTTCTTACGGCAACACAGGCAGCCGAGAAGCCCTGGGAACGAGGATGACGTAGGCCATTCTGAATATAAGGTGTCTCTAAGCCATTTGGTCAATTAGCACAGCGACAGCGATTCCAACAGCTCAGACAAGTGACAATAATTAGATCACAGTATTGTAATATATTGATTATACACTGTATGTTTGTATTTCTTTTTGTTCAAGGTATAGTTAACATGTACAATGAATATTGATACATAACCCCTCCCCCCTAATTAAGCCCTCCCATGTGTAAGCCCATCGATATTTATCGTATAGTTGCATGTGAGTTTTGCTAAAGCTGGGTGCACATACTACAATTTCAATCAGCCAATAGACACTTCCCAAATTTGCATGCTGTCAATGAAAACTATTCATTTATTTTTCAATGGATTGCATTGTTTAGTGTTTACCTCAATTTCAAGCTATTATTGTTTTGTGTTGGGAAAATTCAGGAAGTGTGTATTTTATGGTTTTGGTGTTAAAACACGATACAGTCTGTGGTACAATAAGTGGCCTCGTTATGCTCATGTTTTTATATATAACACATTTTCACAGTTTGCGATGCGAAAAAAGGTCACCAAGAGGATTAAGATTAGAATTAGACCAGGTTCAGAATTGGGGGTTGGGTCAATGAAAACTATTCATTTTTTAAATTTTTTTTATAGGGGTTAGGTTCCCCTATTTTGACTATTATCATTAAAATAAAGTGAATGGTTAATTGATGATTATCATTAAAATAAGGGTGAGAACAAACAATGATGCTGAAATTCGAGCAAGGTAAAGGGTTGAGCAGGGCGCTTATGACGCAGGTGGACGCAGGCTAGCTTATTCAAGTTTACTGCGCATCTGAGAAGACTGGAAAGAACTTGCGCTGAGTAACCAGGCCTAAAACCAATATGGCCGCCAAATGTGTTTAATTAATTTTTGTCAGTTTTTTGGGCGAATTTAACCAGCTTTTAACCACATTCTAAACGTTTTCTGTGATTCCCATCATTTTAATGATGGAGGGTACTGATACAGTTTCTCATAAAAGGAAACGCAAACGAAAATGGAAGCCCGTAAGTTTGGATTCAGTTGAGTTTTTTCACGGTGATATGACTGGATTTGTTTCATTGGAAGTTTTGGAAGGCGAAGATTTAGAGTACGAACCTGGGGGGAAGGTCATGAAGCAAGGTGAAGAAGATGTTGAGTGTGCAATAACGGTAAGAAAATGTCATTTTGTATTATGTATTAGTAGGCTGGATCGATATCCCAAATACCGATATACCGCCATCAGAATACCGGTAAATTCCGGTATTTTTAAGGGTCGTACTAAAGAATGCCCAGGAACACCCGGGGAGATTAGTTGAATGCCCGGGAGTTGGGAAAGAATGCCCGGGGAAAATTACGTCCATAATTACGTTAGTTTATACTAATAAAATCCCTTATTTTATGAAAGATTAAATAATTCTTGTAATATATGGCATTGCAAAGTACTGTTCACAGAATGTCTGGCTGTCACAAATGAATGGCCGGGAGTCGAAAATGAATGCCCGGGGTAAAATTACACACGTAATTACAATAGTTAATGATAACAAGTCTTTTATTTTTTAATGGGTCATTCCAGAAAAGATCCATACCCCCCTACGGAGGAAATCGAAAATAACCCCCTCCCCCCCTTCGGACATCCTTGAATGGTTCATCCTCCCCCCCCTCTCCGGACATCAAAGCCCAAAATTACCCCCCTCCCCTTCGGACATCCACTATTTCTAAATTTTTCTAAAGGCTACCTCGCCGTTTGAAAACGTCACCGAAAATTAGACTACGTTCACACTACGCGCGAGCGAACTAATGCGGGCAGAATTTACGTGTGTTCACACTACCGCCATTACAGTTTGTTTACAAATTGAATTAGCACTCATGTAAACCCAAAATATTTCAAATAGACCCAAGAAATTTAACTGAAAAGCATTCAAGTTTACACGTTTGTGTTCACACGAAGCTATCAAGCGCTCCGCCGTTTTCACCTCGCTCCGTTTAGAAACCGTGCTCAAATTGTTACGGCAAAAGTGACGTGAAAGTTTTCAAACGATTTCGCTCCAGCGTAGAGTGAATTAGCGATGGCTTATTGTGACTTTTCTACGCTGTTTTCAAATAGCTCCGGCGTGGCGGAACACTTGGCGGCTTCTTGTGACTTGCGAACACAAACACGTGGCAGGTTTTGTCGGATAATTTGCAGAAATTCACTTCGAAATTCGTTCAAGTAAAATTCGGACTGAAATTCGATGTAACTTGCGACTGATTGACAAGCGTTGCTATGTTTACTTACATGTTAATGCATTTTTTAGTATTACTGCATTCCTTAACCTCGCCCTTAATATGAAAGCCATTTCTATTTTCTAGACACGCACCTCGCAAGGAAGCTTTATTGACTATATACTAAAACAAATTGTTTTGAGTTCAGTTCACATAGCAGTCTCTTAATTCGAGCAACAGTTTAATAACTATTATTTTAACACTTGAATAATTCAAACTTATATATGGCGAACGAAAACTGCAAACTATATAAATAAAGCGTGTCAATTT